TATAGTGTCTTATTTATATTCTATAAACATAATAATTGATTTAAAATAAAAAACAAACACAAGTAAACAATACTCTTTATTAATAAATGTAATATTTTCTCTGAAGTTCTCTAAATGTAAGCCTCTGCATTTGCAATTAAAGACGTTTCATATTGGGAATGCTATAATTTGACTTCTCTTGGCATTAGAAAAGGTTGTGCAGCTGCTAATCAAACCCTAAACTAGATATAAAGGCACTATAGTTAAAGTTTAGTATTTTTTTTAAGCACCTGAAACTTTAGGAATAATTTGTAGGAACATTCTAAGTAAAGCATTCAAGAGGAAAGTAAAATGGGTGTAACTTTTTCCAGAAAAGAATCTAATGAAAACAATTTAATGCCTTGATATGTTTTTCTCTTTCCAAGAACGATTAAAATTAGTTAGGAACTGATTTGACTATACAGACTTAAGTACTTTACAAGAAACACATGAGTGTCTTTTTAAAGGTGACATGATTACCGAGTGTATGAGATCATAAAAAGCATGGAAAAATACTGGGAAAAAAGAAAAAGCTGTTTAGCTGCTAGATTGTATTTTGGTCATTCAGTATTTTATAAAGCTGTGCTGGCATAGAAAATAAAACATGAATATACCCTATAAATTACCAATTTAATGGATGTGTAATATCTAGTGTATCTTGGCTTTCTAAATTATATAAATGATACCTGATAAGATATAATATTCACATTATTTAAAATGTAGTTTACATATGGTACAAGCCTAATGTTAAGTTAAAAAATCCTGCCTACACTCCAGTGTTTATGAACTCTAGCATATATGGATGACTGGTAATTACAATCGGGTAATATTGATTCCAGAAGCCATTTTGTCTGTCATCATAGGGACTACATGTGTTGATAGATCAGTCTTAGCAACCAGCAAACTTTGACACAAAGGGCAGGGCAATAAGAACATTGCAAAGTTAAGGATTGTAAAAACATTCATAAAAGAGTGACTAAATGTAATGGAGTAAAAGGAAGAATGCACAGAGCATTTGTCATGGGTAGAAATAGTTAGAAAGGAGCACTGCACTGTGAAGAACAATTCAAAAGCCAATAACCAGTCCACCAATTACACTAAAAATACTTATGTAAAAATTACCATTCAGATTCTTAGACATTTCCATTGTATTTCGAATTTCTATGCATTGCACTTCCAATTCCAATACAATACGAGGTGGTCATATGTTATGATCTGCAATTATACCCCTGTACAAGGATGTAATCATAGCCAGGAAGAATACTATGAGACTCTATAGTAATGATATCAGTAATGAAAGGCTCTCAACTGATTTCTCAAGCCCTCAAGTCCACAGTCATATTTCTGTTAACCTTAAAGGATAAGTTCACCTTTTGTAACATGTTATACCCATATGCAGGGTGTAACATGTAATATGTTACATATGCATTGGCCTCCACTCCCCCTGATCCCCCCCATTTTGACAGCTAGCAGGGGATCTTTTTCTCCCTTAGCTGTCACAATATAAAAAAGGGTTCCACCCTGTAGCAATTGTACGTACAGATATGGACGCGGACATCCATGTTGCTAAAGATCCTCTATCTTGTGTCATTCTCACTCCAAATCAGTCCCCCCTCCCTTTCCTGTTGAATGGCATGTGGTCTAGTGTGGCTGAGTTCAGGAGTGCATCGGGCACAGCTGGATACACTTCATGGTTGTAAACAGGGGCGGACTGACAACTCATGGGGCCCCCGGGCAATAGGGGATCATGGGGCCCCTGTGTCCTTACCCAAACTCAAAAAAGCCTATGAAAAAGGTACCGGGGCATCTCATGGGGCATCCTACTGACCCCGGGCCCTCGGGCAGTGCCCGAGTTTCCAAATGGTTAGTCATCACTTGGTTGTAAACCCAATTAGATGATTCCAGTGCGTCTGGCAGACTCTTGCTTCGAGCTGATCGTAAAGCTATAAACCCGCCAGTCACTGGACTTGAAAGCATTCCGGAATAGCAGTAAAACATACATCTCATTTGGAAACCACTTTTCATATAATTTCATAACTTCTCACAGGAAATACATACAATGAAATAAAACATATATTCAGACAGATCAGTTTAATGCGAGTCACCTGATACTTTACATCCCTAGATTACGTCTACCCGAGAGCAGAAAGCGATATCGCCTTAACCGTCCCAAGCAAATATGTCATATTTGGTGTCTGGACGTTCAGAATATCATTCTGCATATTATCCTACCAGTGGATAGGATGCTACATGTACCTATGGAAGGTGATTGACCATGGTATAACTTGGGAGGGATTTTTGGTACTAGCCTGGGTCTTCGCCTACACCCTCTCCCCACATGAGGCGATTGGCCCTTGGCTTCAGAGACACCCCCTGCTGGGGGACTAGAAAAGGGGCTGTGGCTGTCAGGAAACAACTTTGGGAGAAACCATACCCTTTTGCCTCAGGACCCTTGAATCTGCTTAAATCCAGTATTCTGGAAAGTATTCTACCTTTCTAAACTTCTTTCTGTTATCTCTCTGCTGTGTTATTGCTCTCTGTATTTATATGTATATATTGGCTACATCTTTTTCTGTAAATATTTTTATTGTACCATTTTGACCTTTTTAGCAATAAATCCTATTTTCTGAAAAGTGCTGAATTGTTTCTAAAGCTCTTTAATGCAAACTAAGAATCCCTGTCACTACTGTGTGTTTTAAACGTCTGCATACATCTGCCTGCGGTGACAGTGTGTATACAGACGCTTTTTCAAACATCATAGTGTTACTGCAAAGATTGGCGAGTTTCCTCCTTCTCCGTACAAAAAGGTGGTAGTGTGAAGGGATAATTGCGTAATTACCCTGACCCAGTAACAATCGCTCTCAGACTGCGGCACATAGATTGTGGTCCAGTGAGCTGGAAAATCTTTGTGCAGGGTGCAGCTGAGCGTGGCATTGTTCCGCACGTGACAGCGCAGTTTTAGATTGGCTAGTCCTTCGGTCACAAGTTGCTGAGAAGGGCTGGGGGTCTGACGCCGCACCCCTCACACACCCGCCGTGCCGCGTCATCCATTTACAGTGTTCTGTGTATAGGAAGAAACTACAAGTCCTGTTGGCTTGTAGTCCTTAAAGCAGAGTTCCACCCAAAAGGGGAAGTTCCGCTTTAAAGATTGTTCCCCTGCTCCCCATTAAGTATTGGAACCTTTGGCACTTCCGCTGAGATTGCCTAGGCCAGTGGTCGGCAAGCCGCGGCTCGCGAGCCACATGCGGCTCTTTACACACTGCGGCTCTTCTGTTTGCCGGGTGCCTGCTCCCCTCCCTCCTCTCGGGTGGCCCCCCAAAAGTCAGGAAGCTAGCCCAGCAATGTGGGCAAACTACGGCCCGCGGGCCGTATACGGCCTGGCGGACCTTTTAATCCGGCCCACGGAGCGTGGCAAACATTGGCTGTCAGGATGTAGGCGGGGCAGCGTGACGAACTCCTCTCCTCTCACAGTCTGCCCTGAAGACCGGAACGGCGCGGGAACACGGCGAGAGGAACGCGGGGAGCAAAGGTAAGTGAATTGACACAATATGGGGAATGAATTACTATAGGGGGGATGAATTACTATATGGGGGATGAATTACTATAGGGGGGATGAATTACTATATGGGGGATGAATTACTATGGGGGATGAATTACTATATGGGGGATTAATTACTATATGGGGGAATTAATTACTATGGGGGATGAATTACTATATGGGGGATGAATTACTATGGGGGATGAATTACTATATGGGGGATGAATTACTATGGGGGATGAATTACTATAGGGGGACTATAGGGGGGATGAATTTACTATATGGGGGATGAATTACTATATGGGGGATTAATTACTATGGGGGATGAATTACTATATGGGGGATGAATTACTATGGGGGATAAATTACTATATGGGGGATGAATTACTATGGGGGGATGAATTACTATATGGGGGATGAATTACTATGGGGGATGAATTACTATATGGGGGATGAATTACTATGGGGGATGCATTACTATATGGGGGATGAATTACTATATGGGGGAGGAATTACTATGGGGGATGAATTACTATATGGGGGATGAATTACTATGGGGGATGAATTACTATATGGGGGATGAATTACACTATGGGGGATGAATTACTATGGGGGATGAATTACTATGTGGCCACAACAGTTTTAAAAATGTGGCTCTCAAAATAAATTTCAATCGTGGTTTTGGCAAGATTTGGCTCAGTTGAAAAAAAAAAAGGTTGCCCACCACTGGCCTAGGCGATTGGAAACGGAAGTTGTCCTCCTACCCTTCCTCCCTGAAGTCTTGTGGGACACGTGACAGGTCCCAGAAGACGACGGGGCCATTCAGGAGGCGCAGTGCTACTCGCGCATGCGCAGTGGGCACCTGGCTGTGAAGCCGCAAGCTGTCACAGCCAGTGCCGACACTGAAGATGCCGACACCTGGAATACAGGACAACCGGTGAAACGGGCTGCAGCTGGGGGCAACGTGGGATCATGGGACAGGTGAGTGGCTGTTTTTTAAAAGTCAGCAGCTACAGTTTTTGTAGCTGCTGACTTTTATTTTTTACACAGTGAGTGGAACTCCACTTTAATTAACTACCTGAGCGCTGTTGAGTGCTCTAGGTAATTCATTAAGTTTCCTGTCAGTGTGTAGCAACTGCCTGCCCATATTGGAGGTACAGGCGGACAGATACACAGACAGTCTACAGGACCGTGGCATTACTTCCATGAGCTGCTGATTGTGGGTGGCATGCATTACAGGTCCCTTACAAAAAAATGCATATTTTTTTTCCTGCAAAAAAGTGCATTTATTATTTTTTTTTTGTAAAGGTGAACTTATCCTTTAATGGCTTCCCCATTGCCCTATAGCAGAAATACTGCTACAGGGTGGCAGGGGTACGCAAAATCACATATATATACGTGATTTAGTATTTTCGGGTAGGGGGCATGCGTGAACCGCGTGCGTGCCTTAGCTGCGCAGCCGTACATTGCCGCGGCAGGCAATCACTGGGTCCCAGCCATTGATTACCCACTGGCGCCCGTGATTACCGACAATCACCGACGGGGAGGAGGGCTGCATTGTTTACTAATAGTCCTCCTCCCTGTCAGCTTGGGCACACTGCTCTGGATAGCTGTGCACAGCACAGCCATCCAGAGCAGTGTGCTTACAGTGAAGCACCAACACACCGTCCCCCAGTAAAACACTCCCAGCACACAGTTAATCTTTTGATTGCCCCACATGTTAACCCCTTCCTGCCCAGTGCCATTAGTACAGTGTCAGTGCTTTTTTTTAAGCACTGATCACTGTATTGGTGTCACTGGGGATGTCAGTGACACCAAGCCAGTTCCTCCCAGTGTCAGTATGCCCGCTGCAGTCCCGCAGTCTTGCTATAAGTCGCTGATCGCTGCCATTACTTGTAAAAAAAAATAAATCCTGTATATATACCGCCATTTGTAAACGCTATAACTTTCACGTAAACCAATTAATTTACACGTATTGGATTTTTTTTAGCAAAGACATGTAGCAGAATACATTTTGGCGTAAATTTAAGACGAAATTAGATTTTTAAAATTTTTTCACTGGACATGTTTAATAGCAAAAAGTAAAAAATATTGTTTTTTTCTTAAAATTATCGGTCTTTTTTTTTATAGCACAAAAAATAAAAAAAGGACAGGCAGTCAAATACCACCGAAAGAAAGATCAGTTCGTGGGGAAAAAAGGAAATAAATTTAATTTGGGTGCAGCATTGCATGACCGCACAATTGTCAGTTAAATTAACGCAGCGCCATAACGCAAAAAATGGCCTGGTCAGGAAGGGGGGTAAATCCTCAGGAGGGCAAGTGGTTAAAACATAAACATCATATTTGTAACACACAGAATGGTAAAATATATGAAAAGGCATGGATGAGACATGGATGGTGACAGCAGTTAATGAAAATGACAGGTTGTAATTGATATGTAAAGATTTACTGTGAGCATCTCTCTAGCTCAGCTAATCACAGGAATGAGTTTTACTTTTCCAGGAAAAAGAAACTTGGTAAGGAAAATGCAGTATTTGTCTTTAATTGAAGTAATCCATCTCCAGTGTAAAAAGTAGATAAAAAGTCATTTTAACAATTAATAATTAGATCCTGCAAGGTCTGATAAGTGCGCTAATGCTCAGAAATAACTGTTTCATAACAGGACAGTTCTCAGCAGATGGAATAGATGCTGGAGTCTAGTACTGTACTCCTTATTTTAATTATTATTATTATACAGTATTTATAAAGCGCCAATGGTTCGCTCAGCGCTGTACATTACAAAGGGGGACAGAAAATGTGACAGAACAATACCAATACAATGCAAAACATGAGGGGATCGAGGGCCCTGCTCTTTCGAGCTTACAATCTCGGAGGGAGGGGATAGTGGTACAGGAGGAGATAGCTGTGGGGGATGGAGTGGTAGGAAGAGTGGAGGAGGTCGGCAGGTTAGCAGGGGGTGGGGTAGGCTTCCCTGAAGAGATGGGTTTTCAGGGTGTGCCTAAAGGAGAGGAGAGTAGGTGATAATCTGATGGGTTGGGGCAGGGAGTTCCAGAGGATGGGTGACACCCTGGAGAAGTCCTGGAGGCGGGCATGGGAGGAGGAGACCAGGGAACTAGAGAGAAGGAGGTCTTGTGAGGAGCGGAGTGTGCGTGCTGGGCGGTACTCGGATATTAGGTCAGTGATGTAGTTCGGGGCAGTATGGTGGACAGCTTTGTACGTCAGTGTTAGGATTTTGAATTTGATCCGTTGCGCAATCGGAAGCCAGTGGAGGGATTGGCAGAGGGGGGTGGCGGAGATGGAGCAGTTGGAAAGGTGAATGAGTCTGGCAGCCGTATTCAGGATCGACTGAAGTGGGGATAGCCAGCGGCGAGGCAGGCCAGTGAGGAGGGAGTTGCAGTAGTCGAGTTGTGATATGATGAGGGAGTGGATGAGCTGGTTGGATAGGTTGGAGTCCAGAATGACACCAAGTACTCTGGCCTGCGGGGCGGGTTTGATGGTGGCATTTAGAGATGAGCGAATTATTCAAAAATTCGATTCGGCTGATTCGCCGAATTTGCGGAATAAATTCGATTCGGTGAATTTATTCGCTGCGAATTTAACTTATTAAAAGGGTTTCTAGGCTTCAGAGAGCCATTATTAGTGCAGAACACTGTACCTTTAATTTAAATGCCCTTGGAGTCTTTGGGGAAAGAAATAATACTGTCAGTCAGTATGACATGCAGATGAGTGCCGTCGATCTTAGAATCACCGCTCACTTCACTCATTTGGGCAGTCACGGGGCACGAAGAAGAAGAAGAAGAAGAAGAAGAAGAAGAAGAAGAAGAAGGAAAAGAAGAATGAAAAGAAGAAGAAGAAGAAGGAAAAGAAGAATGAAAAGAAGAAGAAAGAAGAATGAAAAGAAGAAGAATGAAAAGAAGAATGAAAAGAAGAAGAAGAAGAAGAAGAAGAATGAAAAGAAGAGGAATGAAAAGAAGAAGAAGAAAGAATGAAAAGAAGAATGAAAAGAAGAATGAAAAGAAGAATGAAAAGAAGAATGAAAAGAAGAAGAATGAAAAGAAGAAGAAGAAGAATGAAAAGAAGAATGAAAAGAAGAAGAAGAAGAAGAATGAAAAGAAGAAGAATGAAAAGAAGAAGAATGAAAAGAAGAAGAAGAAGAATGAAAAGAAGAAGAAGAAGAATGAAAAGAAGAAGAAGAATGAAAAGAAGAATGAAGAAGAAGAATGAAAAGAAGAAGAAGAAGAAGAATGAAAAGAAGAAGAAGAATGAAAAGAGAAGAAGAAGAAGAAGAAGAAGAATGAAAAGAAGAAGAAGAATGAAAAGAAGAAGAAGAAGAATGAAAAGAAGAAGAAGAAGAATGAAAAGAAGAAGAAGAAGAATGAAAAGAAGAATGAAAAGAAGAAGAAGAATGAAAAGAAGAAGAAGAAGAATGAAAAGAAGAATGAAAAGAAGAAGAAGAATAATGAAAAGAAGAAGAAGAAGAATGAAAAGAAGAATGAAAAGAAGAAGAAGAATGAAAAGAAGAAGAATTCCAGTACAGCAAAAAGTGTATCTGCAGAGAGCTCCGCTATTTCTGACAGTTCTCTGACAGTTCCTTCACATTTACAGCGGTTGAAACATTGTATCTATTTGTTTCCGAATAAAAACATCTGTATCCTAAATGGAAACAAATAGATACAATGTTTCAACCGCTGTAAATGTGAAGGAACTGTCAGAGAACTGTCAGAAATAGCGGAGCTCTCTGCAGGGACACTTTTTGCCGGCTGTAGAAGGGATGAAAATCGGCCGATCGGGGAAAAATTTGATTCGTGCATCCGAAGTTTGCTAATTTTCGGATTCGGTGCGAATCGAATTTTTCCTAATATTCGAAACGAATTCCACTTCGCCAAGTTCGATTCGCTCATATCTCTAGTGGCGTTGTTGGATGTGACGGAGAAGTCAATGGGGGGTGGTGTCTGGGCTGGGGGGAAGACAAGAAACTCGGTTTTGGAGAGGTTCAGTTTAAGGAAGTGGAGCGACATCCAGTCTGATATGTCGCTAAGTATGTGTGATTCGGACGGAGACCGAGGGGGTGAGGTGGGGGTTGAGAGATAGATTTGTGTGTCATCGGCATAGAGGTGGTAGTTGAAGCCGTGAGAGTGTATGAGTTGGCCAAGGGAGGAGGGGTAGATGGAGAAGAGAAGGGGCCCGAGGACAGAGCCTTGAGGGACCCCAACAGAGAGGGGGAGTGAGGGGGAGGTGGTAGCATTATAGGTAACGCTGAAAGAGCGTTGTGACAGGTAGGATGAGAGCCAGGAGAGAGCAGAATCTCTGAGGCTGAGGGAGTTTAGTTTTTTTTTGGAGGAGGGGGGTGGTCGACTCTGTCGAAGGCCGCAGATAGGTCAAGGAGTAGGAGCACTGAATAAATGGCCATTAGCTTTTAATGTGCCTTTCTCTTGTTACTTAACCCCACTCCACCCCAAACCAAACCCTCGCAACTGCTCACCTTATCAACAGTCAGTTAAAAGTACACCATCGTAGCGTGCTTTTGCTCTTCACAGCATCCATTTCCCACTTTTGAGGCCTGTGTCTGCATGAAACAATGAAGAAATGAATTTGCTGATGGCCAGCCCAGAGCACAGTGACACTTCCCCTGCACTCATGTACTTTGACAAGACCAAGTGCAGTGGATGCCTAGTGAACCATCGCTGTGCTCTATACCAGCCATCATCAACATTCCATGCACAGCTCTGATGTAGAGGATATTATTTCTATGAGCAGTAGAAGCAGAAGCCCCAGACATAGTTGAGACTACCACAATCCTTCATCCTATGCTCCTGATCAAAAACATTAAACGGACACTGCTTGACATACTTGTAATAATGGAAGTGCATGTCAACAGAAATTCATTCAAGGATGACCATTTGTTTCTGAGCAATTAGATCCTTTCACATATGACCATCCAAAATACCTTGTGCTATATGTAATTATACAAAACGTTTATACAAAACACTTTGTCAAAAGCTGCATCCAACATTCAACACAGTCAATGTGGAATTAGAAAGCCTATAAGGTATATAGCCTTCCTCAGAGACTCTGAAGACAGAAGTCTATCAACCAATGCCATTATCCCTCGTAAGAATGCTGCTAGTTGATGTCTGCAGTACACACAGACACACTTATCTACATGTGTTTATAGATATATCATGTGGTGTTCAAATTGTTAGTAAATGCCAGACTGACTGTAGGCTTGTCAGCCAATAGTAACTTGTTCCTCCTTAAGGATAGTACCAGGTAGTAATTACCGCCATGTTCACAGAAACACTCTTCTTTTTGTGTTTATGTATAGATCATGTGCTGGTCAAATTGTTAGTAAATGTCAGATCTCTGTTTTGAATGCATGGCCAGTATATGTGTACATGGGAATGAATTCCCATCCAGACCAAGACCTATTTTACAATCAGTCTTGAGACTTTTACAGAAGGAAATAACTTTTTTTCAAGCAACAATGACTTTCAAATTAGGTATTTATTAACAAAAAAAAGGGAGGAAAAAAACTAAAAAGTTGTTGTCCATTGTGATCACCAGATTTCATTGTTTGTTCCTTTGGGAACATGAATTAAGAATCTAAATGGTTATCTTGGAACAACACAATTTTGTTCATTTGTTGTTTTTTATACTTGGGTTTTTTTCATAAAGAACCCCCTAAGTTTACTAGCCCCTAAAGAGAATCCGAAATCAAACTATTGACATTTCCAGGTACAGTTTTCCAAACCTAAACCATGTTCATCTAACTCCAGTTACCAATTGTAAGAGTCAGGCAGGCCTGGGCTGGCAGTCTTCGAACTTGTGTTAGAATATTCCCAGGTTGGTGTCAGCTTTCATAGCCTATTTATCCTCAAT